CAGTATTATGAAGATTAGAAGAATATATATATATATATATATATATATATATATATATATATATATATATATATATATATATATATATATATATATATATATATATCCTAATGACTGGAGACACTACGAGATATGTTTCTGAGTTCTCAGAAGCTTTTGCCATTGAATTACTTCTGAAATAAGCTGGATATAAGAAACCCTGTTGCTTTCTATTCTCTAGAGTAAATGACAAACTTAATTTAATATCTCTTTTCCATATAGTTTCCACTTTGGATGAGACTTCTTGCATGGCTCATATAAATTCATCATTTCTGCATTCATAAAAAAAATATGCATATTTTAAGTTGGATTTTCATTTGGATTTTACTCGAGTGCTTATTTGGATTTTATTCGAATTAACGTGTAGACGAGACGAACTACGAAGAGTATACTGAATAACAAGGGCCAACTGAGCACGATCCCTGCCAGCAAGAGTTTCTCCTAGAACCACAGCAAGGCAAGCAAACCATAAAATATTACCAAACTCAAAATCTATTAAGTTGTATTTTTATGAAATTATTATGTATATGCCATGTTTAAATTTCTCCGGGCATTGGGATTTTGTGCATAGGATGGTCAATGCTTGTAGGTATGATGTGTGTCGGTCATAAGCAGGTCTAGTTCATGAAAATATATGCTGGGGTGAGCTTTCGTCTCATTGGTGGTTAAGAGGAAACATGCTAGGCCACATAAGGACCCGTACTTTGTGTATTCACTTAAGGGAAAATCGTACAACCACGGGTGTTGTTATGGGCAACTATAGCCAAGTACCTAGTTGATACTATTCTTGCCTTCCAGAAGTTCGGGATGTGGGTACAGGTGGTTCATAGCTATGAATCCATCTGGAGGGGCCTCCATCACTACGGTGTTGGGCCTGAGGTCTGCAAATACAACGATTAGTACCCTCTGGACTAGTGGGACCCAACATAAAGGAGGACTAGCCTCTGGGGTACTTAAATAATAAAGGAGGGGTTAATACTTTTCGGGGAAGGCAAAAAGAGTGGTCAATTAACAAAACAGCTATATATATATATATATATATATATATATATATATGATACCTACATGCGCTCTTCGAGAGTGCGCGCTGCCGACGGGTACCACAGGGGTCACTCATAACTCGTAGGTAAGGTGTACAAACTCTGTAGAGTAATAATCTATTTGAATAGCCGTGCTCACGGTTATGAGTAACCTCAATGATGGAACATTGTTTAAGTATTCTTGGGGATCTCGGGTCTTGCATTTGCATGCATGAGTAGTGGTTCAGTTAATTGGTTTAGTTGGAGAAGGTCATCCACACCCACGTGGTGATGGATAAAATAGGTGACCTCATGGAGGGGGTCATGGTGGAGTCAGAATTTAAATTTAATCATTTTCATATGAAATTCTATTCTGTTGATTAATATTGTATTCACATAATTGTTGCTAAATTGCAAAGTCTTGCTGAGTATGAAAGTACTCACCCTTGCTTAATACGTGGTTTTAGAAGATGAAGGCTACGAGTTTCCAACAGATCAAGATTTTTACATGTCGGGTTTTGGAGGTCCGGATGACGCACGGTTCTAGGTTTCATCTAGGTTGATTGCCTATGGAGTTGGGCACGTCCACTGGATGCACTGCGCTATCTCTTATTATCAAAGCAGGAGAGTTTTGCCACCAACCAGGCTATCCACGTCGCCCCGAATTGTTTCATCCATCAGATCCTCCATCATGTGGCCCTAATTTGTTGGATCGGATTCTACTGGAAGCGCTTTCCCGTGCTTCTCTTCTTACCTTCTTCGGCTTCTCCTCTGCATCTCTTTACCTTCTCCGACTTCTCGTCCGAATCCAATCAACCAAATATATACCCAAGCTTCTTCTTGGCTTCTGCTTCTCCTTCAAAATATCTCGCCTCTTCCTCCTATCTCCCTCTCCCCTCGCTGCTCGCCGCGACCCCCGCCGTTCCCCGTGCTGCGGCCACGGCACCGTCCGGGCGGTGACCCGGCGCGGGTGGCGCGGGTCCAGCCCCGCCGAGCTTGTCGGCATCGTGGCCGCCCCCCGCCGGCGCGAAAGCACCCAGCACAGCCAGCCCGGAGTCACGAGCGGCCCCCGGCGACGCAGCCACCGAGAGACGTCGCCATGCCCCGCTTCCACAAAACCCTACCTGCCTGTGCTCCATATTGATTAAGCTTTTGTTGTTTTGGATCTTCTCAGCCAGTCGGCTAGTGTGATGTAGCATGTAAATATAAGTTATTGTAAGTCTTGGTACTGTTTGTAATAAAGAAGGACTGTGTTTGTACAGTTGTCATGCCAATTCTGTAAATCGTGTGTGCTTGCTACTGATCATGGGACAAGCACCGTGGAAACACGATGCTTGAGGTAATTTAATTACCTGGGATGCTACAAACAGCTAGTTACCGCAACATCAAAATAAAGAAGGTGAGACATCTCTAATCAACATGAGAAACCATCGCATACCAAATATTCATGTAACACAACATGTTAGTTTTGTTACAACAACATGAGAGATCATCTGCTGAAACAATTAAATCTGCTACGAAAACACGAGAAGTCTTATGATGCAATGTAGAAGAAACAACAAATACAACATCCAAGAATCATATGCCGAGCAACATCAACCCCAGAGGAGCTAAAGAGGAGGGTGTGGATCTGGGGCTCCCTTATTAGCAGCATGAGATGGCAAACTTAGAACTCGAGGATAACAACAATAGAGTCCTTGGAGCCAAAGAGTAAGGTGCAGAACTTCACAAGGCCATCCATGGGAGGAAACAAAGGTTGGTGGGATCACCAGGGAGCAAGGTGGATGAGCACGGCAGCAAGCATGGCATGTGGGTTGACGCAGTGGTGGAGGGAGCAAGCGGGAAAAGGAGGAAGGTGTGTGGGCACGACGACGCAGGGACTAGGGAGGAAGCGGCGCAGCAAGCGAGCCCTTGCGGCGGAGAATGAGTGACTCGTGTGGGCCTGTGCGAAGAAGCAGAAGCTAAGTCAACTTGTTTAGGTCCATGATGAGTTAACGGTGGATGCGGCAAAGAGAACTGTCCGAACGTCCAATTTCAAGCACTACCGTGTCCTAAATCTGACCTCCGGTTTAGTGATGTTGTAACAAAGAAATTTGGAGTTAACAAAAGGTATTGTTTTTTTGGTTTATGTGTGCTGATACGGTGTCCTATATTGTGCAGCAAATTTTGGTGAAATTTTGCCAAAAAAAACAAAATTTCGCTGGGCGCCGAATAAAATATATAACATATATTAGTCAAAAATTTCAGTGGAATTTAGCCCGCGCCCAAATTCCGCGCCGAAATGGGCCAAAACTCCAGTTCCCGACAGCCTGCCCATATACACTTCAGACCTTCTCTTTTGTCTTCCCAAAAAAAAAAAAAAATTGCTACTCGTGACCCAGGCGAGCCGCCGCCTGAGCCGCCCCGCCTCCCGACAACGCCGCCGCGTAGCTGCCTGCCTGCGGCCTGCCTCACCTCCTGGCAGCGCCGCGTGGCCGCCCCGTCGTGCTGCCGAACTGCCCCGCCTCCCGCCATCGTCGCGCCGCCGCAGTCGAGCAGAGGCCAAAGGTGTGTAGCGGCTGGCTTGGCGCGGGCTCTGGTCCCCAGTCCCCATGGCCTCACGCCCTCACCCCTCACCCCAGTTCGGACTCTGGCTTGCTGCTCTTGGGCTTGCCGCTCGGCGCTGGCACATAAGCCATGTTCTGGTATGATGATGAACCACATTTCCCCCCCCTCAATAGAAAGCATTTGTTACCGTTTGCTATATATATATGTAAATGTGTTGTAGATGGATTAGAGAGAATTTCAACTAAAATTCTGCCATTTTTTTTAAAGTTTGAATTTGTTTAAATGTCCGAAATTTCTGAAATTCTCAAAATTTTGCATTTATCGGCAGGTGCCGTTTTTTTCCTACCGGTATAAAAAACCATTGTGCTGAGGCAATGGTGGAAACGGCATACGCATACACTACATCCGTATGTAGGTCGTGGGTTCAGCTCATTGGTAGTTTAATTTTAAATTCCATCAAATTCCGTTGAATTGGTGGGTATTTAGTACTAGCTATCATGCAATTTATACCCACAATTTATCTTCTTAATATTACTAACTAGCAAAATACTCATATGCTGCAATGGGACACAGAATTTAAAAATTATGGTGATCAAAGTTGTGGGGAAGATGGGTTGGAGTCGCCGAAGAAGAATAAATAACTAAGTTCTCCTAATCTTTTGTTGTGGATCATTGTATGATCGTTTGAACCTGATTATGTTTGGTTTAGCGGTGTTTGGTCTAAGTGTCTTTCAGTTGTAATGAACGGCTACACCCATTCATGCATGGATGGAGGAGGCTGGAATACTTTTATACTTGAATCTAATAAAAAGAAAAATATATGACAACACTTTGTCGTTGTAGCACACATTTTCTAAAGCTTAAGCATATATAGCACACATAAGGAAATCAACTTAACAAGGGAAATGTCACACTTATTACAGATGGAACCATACACGCCGATGATACAGAGAAAATAAACCCCCACAAACACATCCGAATACATGAGCATGAGACACCCGGAGAGCCACATGTCCCATATATATGCTCAAAGCAGACTCATACCATAAGATAAGCAAGCATGCAGGCAGGCAGGCATGCTGTGCAAATCAAGAGGAAAGCCACACACACAACAAGGGAAATCCAAATCGATACATAAGCATAGTGGCACACAGGTGCTATGCTCAAGCATGCATGCATGAACACAACTGCAGATGTGCACAGTCCCTTTGCAGGACACAACAGACACAAAGACGCACACAAGTACAGAGCGTAGTACTGATAGCATGCACACAAACGGGGCCAGCAGTCCTGGAAATCAGTGATGAGGGTGCAGAGAACTGGGATGAATGGAAAGTGAATTCCTTGCAATCCTTGCAAACCTTTCCTTATCCAACTAGCCTCGACTCTTGATCTTCAAAAGCAGGAGATCAGTGGACATCCTGTATCATTGCCCTCTTCTCCTGTTGCTTGGCTTTGTTGCAGTGGCCTCTTGTGTGTAAGAACAGGTTTCCCTTCATGTGCTGTAATTTCTTTCCTCACCCGATAAGGCACATGTTCACCACTGCACTCGATCTCCTTCAACTTCGGAAGATTGCTGATTCCATCGAGAGACTTCATCTCGCTAAAGGACCAAACGATCCTCAATAGCTTAGGAGCAGCTGTTTCGTCGGTGAAGCTGATGCTGCTTATGTTATGACACTTGACAATAAGACGGTCAAGCATTGGGAATTCGTTGAAGGTAAGCTGGCTTTCATCATAAGAATTGTCTGATAGCACTAGACAGCGTAGGCTTTTTTGTTTCTTGCCAAGTTCATGTATATCTTCTTGCTTCAGATGAGTATCTCGAAGGGTCATCTTGGTAATATGACTGGCGTTCGAAAAGAACGTGAGAAGGAACTTGTCACCGTTCAACTCAACCTCATTCAGTTTTGGAAGGTCATTGACCCCAGTAAGCTTGGACCTTTTGTCATCCAAGGACAGAATGATCTTCCTCAGCTCAGGTGCTGCTCCAGTTTCAAAGATGATGTTGGTCCTTTTGGAGTCCGTAAAGTGAAAGCACACAAGATGTTGGAATTTGTCCTTCTTGAAGGTGAACCTGCTCTCCGTGTATTGCTCAGGAACTATGTTCCTCTCAGGGTTTTGCTCAGGGACTCTACTCTGAGTGCCTAGCTCAGTAGCTCTTGTATCGGTGTTTTGCTCATCAGGGTCTGTGCTTTGAGTGTCTTTCTCGGCAGCTGCTCTGTTCTCGGTGCTTTGCTCAGCGGCTCTGCCTTGGGTGTCATGCCCAGGAGCTCCACTCTCTCTGTTTTTCTTGGGGGCTCCACTTTGAGTGTTTTGCTCGTCATCTCTGCTCTCAGTGTGTTGCTCAGGAGCTGCTTCGTCATGACAAAATGAAAGAAGAAATTGGTTGGCTTCTAACTGGAGCTCTTTGAGTTTAGGAAGGTTGTCGATGCCACAAAGAGAACTTATGTTGGTGAAGGACAAGACGATCTTCTCGAGCTCAGTAGTTGCTCCATCTTCGAACTTGATGTCAGTCCCAGTCATGCTTGTTTTTCCATCTGCCATGTCAGGATCCTCAACAAGAAAGTACTTGAGTTGTGGGAATTCTTCTTTGTTGAAGGTGAGTTTTGTCTCACTGTATGGATTGGATCGGAGCCTGAGAGAGCGTAATTTGGGAAGCATAGCAAGAACCGTTAGGCTGTCATGTTCCAACAAGGTGCCACTTAGAGTTACCTTGGCAAGATCGTCGCAACCTTTGGCCAATGATTTGAGAAGCTGCACATTTTCTGTAAGTGTGACTCCGTTGATGGTTAGGCTCTCAAGCTTGCTAGTTTTATTTTGCCAAGTCTTAATATCTTGTAGCAGTTTCTCTTCTCTAGAGGGTACTTTCTTAGTTTTGGTGATGGGTGATATAGTGACTGAAAGAGACAAAAGGCACTCATGAAGGTCACTAATAGCTTGAAACAACCTCGTGAGGTGATTGTAGTTGTCTTGGATAACCACACCGAGCTTCCTCAGTTGCCATAGTTTTCTTATTTCTCTCAAGTCACTGCCATCCCCTGTTGCCTTGACAGTTGACAGTACCTCCAAATTTTCCATCCTATTGATTTGGCTGGGAATCTGGACAGCGGAGCATGACTTGGCACACATTCCTGAACTTGAATCATCACGATCTGCCAGCAAGCGCCTCAGCTTCAGGAGCAGGACATTTCTTGTGGCCTTCTCAGGCACCATTGTCTGCCGGATATCCAAGACCTCAAGCTCATGGAGGTTGTTGATTTCAATGGGCAGTTTGGTAACATTTGTTCCTCTAAGGCTCAAATACTTGAGAAGTAATATCTTGTTGCATATGTCCTTGAGGTACTGATTCTTTTCAAAACACTTGACGCCTTCCAGGTCTAGCACCTTGAGCAATGGCAATTGTGGTAAATAATTGGGGAGCTGGCGCACAAACTTGTCAATGCTGTCAGAGGCACGGAGTCGGAGGCCACTGAAGATGGAGAAGTGGCGAGCCCATTGATCTGACAGGCGTGCATCCAAAATGTGCTCTTTATTTGCAATCTTGCTGATAAACCCATGGACTTGATCACCTACAATGCAGCTCTTGACCTTTCCTGCAGTTCCAATATCACAAGGCCAAACAAGTCCCCGTTTGATGAGAGCCTCAAAACATCGCTCAGCATAACGCACAGTAGTGCGCCAGTCTTGTTTAGTTATCAGCCCTTCGGTGACCCACCGTCCTATTAGGGTCGACCGCCTGATGTTGTGGCCTTGAGGGAAGATAGCAAGGTACAGCAAGCAAGTCTTGTATTCTCTGGGCAGTTCTTTGTAGGAGAACTTGATCATCTTCTTAGCTTTATTGTCCAATGTCTTTTGGGGAACCAGGTCTTGATGCAACTTGCGCAGTTCCTGGTAGCTCCTGTTGGGATTAGCATAAAGAGCGTGCGCGAAGATCTTCATGCAGAATTCATGACGACAACTCTCCAAGATGTCACGGAGGATCTGAGGGTTGTAGCTGTCATTTCCATTGTTCACCTGTTGCTGTGTAAGCTGGAGCACAATATCATAGTAGAGGCCAACGAGAGAACAGGTTACTGGCTCCCCAGGTGGATTGCAAAATTCTTTGGCCTTCTGGCTATTCTTTGTGGACACAATCACTGCGCTGCCGGCAGCGCAGCCTAATAGATTCAAAGCATATCTGGTCTCCTCCCAATGGGACACAAAGTCTTCATCATCTTGGAGGATAATCAGAGTCTTCTTATCCTTCAGGTGCTTGTTAATCTTGTCCACTACCCCTTTATTACTCAGCTGATCTGTAATCTCCCACTTGATATCAGATAGCTTTATCTTGGTTTCATTGATAGCAATAGCGACAGCACCACTAGCCTTAGCAGCCTCCGCAGAGATATCCTTCATTTTCTCCCTGGTTTGTTTGATTACAGCTTCAGCAGCAGCAGCAGCAGTACTATTGGCGACTTGATCATGGCCATCCTGCTCCTGCTCCTGCTGCTGGATGCTGCCTGTGCCAGAGTTGCCTTCTAGTTGCTGCTGCTGCTGCTTGGGAAGAAGTTTACAGATGATGTCCAGTGTAATCCTGTGGTTGTGGATTATTTCTTTGATGTGATCCTCGCCCAGTGTAGTCGCAGTCGAGCTGGTTGAGGTGGAGGCTTCCTTGGCCTGTGGTTGGGGGTTGTTGCTCTCCCGGAACACCTTCTTCAGGATATCCTTATATTGGGTAACCTCGAGACATATCTGGGGCTTAGCCTTGACTTCTTGTTCCGTATTGCTAGTTGGCTTATCCTTGACTTCTTGTTCCGTAGTACTAGTTGCCTTAGTCTCGGCTTCTTGTTCCATGTGAGTTTTCAGCCTGAAGGCAGTTTCCGACATGGCCTCATCCCAGGATGGAGGCAAACCCGTGTCAACCGCTTCCTGCAAAAGCCGCAGTACATGGAGCAGTACGCTTAAACGTTTATCTGCCATGCTCGTCATCAAGTTCTTGGATGATCCTTTGAATATGCTGCTGTCGACTCCTCCAATCTTATTCCTGATATTTTCAATCTTGGCATCGATATCTTCATAACTAATCATATCCCCGATTTTGTTATCGAGATCTCGTTTGTAGCGGTAAGCTTCCTGCTGCTGCTGCTGCTGCTGCTGCTTACATTTATCCTTTTCCTGCTGCTGCCGCTCCTGGATCTCACATTCTCGCAGGATGTAGGCGAGAATCTCTGATGGTTTAAGCGGCAGATCCCATGGGAGGTGCAAATCCGGAAGATTGATCCAGACCTTGCACGTGAAATGGCTGGTGGCCAAATTCAAAGACTCACGTGCGATGATGCCGGCGTTCTCGGCATCATCCGGCGCAACAATGGCAGTGGATGCTATTGCCACCACCTCGTTGTTCTTGGATTGCAACTCTAGCCAGCTTGCCAGCTTCTCAGCGCAGTAGTCCTCCACCTGAGGACGAGGTTCTTCTAGTAGGGCTCTTGGATGGGGATCGTAACCGTCGGTCGCTGCTACTTCCGCCGCTTTATCCTCTTCCTCGTCGTCATCATCCTCCTCTTCTGCGGCCGCAAGCGCCGCAGTAGCACGAGGCGACCACGACGACAGCGGCAGCATAGATGCTGCTGCCTCGGCAGGCCCTCCCGCGTCTTTCCGTGGGATCTCCACACCGTACCGCAACCGCCTCTTGCCGACATCGCGCGCCCGCTGCTTGAGCTCACGCAGCCGGGTGGCCGCGCTGTGGTGGGCAACCATCTTGTGCACCAGCAGCCATTCAGCCCACCGGAGGTAGCGCCAGAGCTGGCCCCTGGCACAGTATACCGCGTGGTCACCGCACCGGTGGTGGAGGTGGAGCTCGATGAAGTTGCTGCAGTCGCGGGCGAGGTCACGGACCTGCTTCATCCATGTGCGCACCTGCTCGTCGTGCCCGCCGGCGGGACGAGCCGTCCTGGCTAGGTGCTCCAGGAAGCTCTGCATGCTCTCCATCTCCTCCTTGATGAACTCCATGTCGCTCCCGACGTTGCTCAGCAGCAGTGCCTCGTTCCGGAGGAGGCCCAGCAGCGAGCTCACGGCGCCTGACGCGAGCTCAGCCATTGCGGCCGGAACAGACGACGCTGATCAGACCCTACCCCGGCGTCCGCACCCCTTGCCTCTCACCGGCCGGCTAGCCGGTGTGTCTCCACTCCAGCAAAGGTACGGTAGATAGGCTTAGACTAGTTTAGCTGAGCTAGCTAGCTGTTCGTCGTCCAATAGAGTGGATGACTTAATTAGGAGCAACACATGTTATTGCATCGAGATTGTGTGGGTGCGTGGAATGGATGACCTTTCACCCTTGTTTGTTCGAGCAACAACAATGGCGCATGACATGCTCGATAGTCCATACAATACAAATGCTTTGCCCCCAATGCCTTGCTAGTTCTAGTTTGTCTTCTACTCTTTATTTCGGTTGAGATGGCAAGCATAGAACAATTCCAGTGAGGATATGCATATTCTTTTGAGCGATCGACATCCTCTACTCCTTGTTTATTCCTTGATGCATATGCCCATGCACAAGGAATGTAAGCAGGCGTGGGAAAAGAGAGAATGTCGAACAAGTAAAGCAGGACCTTCTCTGTTCCTTTATCTAAAACAAAGTAAAGCATTGTCTTTCAAACTACGTAACTGGCAGTCTAGCACTACACCACAACAGATCGCTGCACAACTAGTGATCTCTATCCTTCAAATTAACGAGCTCATGAACACTAGAGACTCGTGTCCCTCCATCCTTTTCCCTTTGTTCTTTGATATAAAAATCCCTCAGACTTATGTCCCTAGCTATATCCCCTTTTCCCCTTATTCTCTTTTTGGAAAGAAATTTTCCTTTATTCTGTTTTCCCCCTTTTTCCTTTATTCTCTTTTTTGAAAGAATTTTTCCTTGATTCTCTTTTTCCCCCTTTTCCCTTTATTCTCTAGTACAGCACATCTGTCTCCTCTATCTAAACCACGAATTCATCGGTTGAGGCAAGCAACAGCGTACCCCTAAACCATGGGTAAATTATCAAGAAAATACCTTTAGAAAAGTACATTCTATGTACAAACCTACATGTTCATTCACTGCTACAAAATTAATTTTAGGACATATTATTAACCAAGGCGGTCAAAAATTATTTACGTCTCCCAAAATACGTGACAATTTTTAGAGACGGTAGTTCAATTTAGGGTGTGTTTGGTTGGGCTTCCAAAAGTATTTTTGCTAAAAAAACAAAAGCCAACCAAAGAGGTGGGATGGGTACTAGCTTCTTTAGAAAAAGCAGCTTTCACCTGGTACAAAACTCACATCACCTCATGACTTGCTTCCACCGGCTACGGGGGCAAGGCTTTCATCAAAATTACTTGCCTGCCATTGGTTATAGGGATGTACCCCTTGGTCCTTTTTCCCCGTCCCATCATTTTCCGGTTGGGATGGGTACCGGCTTCTTTAAAGTAAGCAGCTTTGACCCAGTACAAAACTCACATCACCTCGCGACTTGCTTCCACATACTGCCGGGGCTAGACTTTTATCAAAATTACTCGCCTGCCACTGGTTATAGGGGTGTACCCCTTCGTTCTTTTTCCCCGTCCCGTCATTTTCTGGTCTTCTCAACTCGGTTCTCCACTGCGCATGTATCTCGGTGGCAGCGGCGTAACCGAAGGCCGAGTAACACCAATGAATTAAGTAAATTTAGTGAGGAATTAAGTAAATTTATTGAGGGTTGACCTGACACTTTAAAGAGATGCCAAAATTTGAAATTTTGATCTGTTGATCGGATTGGCGATCGGAGGTCATCGATGCGTAGAACTCATCGAAGAATTTACGTTTGACTACTCACACTGTGATAGAATTCATAAGTACCGATGGGCCTCAACTTCATTACAGACATCTGTGCGTAAGGGTCTGTGATGTGACCATATCACAGACAAAAACAACCGTCTATGATTAGTCAAAGCAGAGACGGGTACTTAGGGTGTCTATGATAAGAGTAATCACAAACGGTTGTAAAGCACATCTGTGAAGATATTTAAGGCACGTGTCACAGATGGGTCAGACAGGTTGTGTAGCCGTCTGTGATATATACCATATCAAAGGCGGTTCTTCGATGCTGTCTGTCTGTGATGTATTCAATAACACAGAAGGTTAATTAATATGGCTTGTTTGTTTTCTCTTCTAAGCGACAGACATTTTGCTGTGATGGTATGCAGATATTCTACTATAAGCAACACGGATTATTGACATCTCCGATCATTAAGTTGCATTAGAAGCATCATCTATTCATGCTCACAGGCAATATAATTGAGCCATCAATAAAAACATCACTGAACAAATACTCATATTATTACAGAAGAATCATCAATAGCAATCATGCATCACAAGTTGAGCCATCGAGCCATCAATACCATCACTCATATTATTACGCATGTAAATATAGCATCATCTCACATGTCATCGAATCCGCATATATATAGTAACACAATGTTTGCACATAGAATTCACAGGCAACCTATCAGTCAACAACATGTTCGATCACATGCGATTCTTTCATTGTGCATTTTCATGAGTATGGAACTCCCCTTTCGGATCAATTACCTAATCTTTTCTGTAATATCGTGCAGTGTATCTTCTTTCATGGTTGATGTCAGCACTTCAAATTCCTATACATGTATTGATGAAAACACATGTTTCAGAAAGGCCAGCTGCATATTGCAGGTTTACATGAGAGATGAAGACATACCTCAGGCTAGTGTATGCATGTGTTTCCCATGGACACCATCATGTGGTGTGCAGCGAAGAAGCCACAACTAGTGTTGCCATGGGGTTGCTGGTGGCACTGCAAAAGGATTGTGTGTTGAGCAAAATGACAACTAGGGCCTAAACTACGCTATCTCATGCCAACTCTTGAACTAACCATATATCTCGTGAAATGTATCATCTCTTCTTGTTTGCCTCGTCTCTTGATCAATGCTCTACATACACACACAAAACATTGATCTTATTGTCTCGTTCACAAGTTAAAAAAAATACATGAAATGAGATGTAGGTGGCACTCACTCATTAGGCATGCGTTGTAATAGGGCATAATCCTTTGCTTTCCCTTTCATTGAATCCAGGTACAAAACCTTTTTCCACCTCTGCATTATCACTAGTATGGTCCAATGACCACCTATGTTGTAGAAGCTCAAGATTCATTCCTTCTTGGTGTGGTGGGCCAACACCTTTTTCAAATACTTCTTAACATTTTCCTCATCCTCTATTGTGCTGCTGAATGAAAATAACTGAGAGCATAGGAACCCCACTTGAATTTTCTTTTGCTTTGCTTCTTGCACCACGGCACTAATGAGAAAAGAGCAAAATGTAAGCAATTATTGAAATGAAAATTTATACCTATTGACCTTTTTTGAGAAGAACGAATAGATTCTGAGCAAACTAGCAAACAAGCCATTGAAGCTCTCGCCAGGGAGAGACCCTGTTGGGGTAAGGCGTTCGTCGGGTTGCCCTAGGTCGGCTAGCAAGCCTAGCGCACTATCCTTGGTTGTCGGATTAAGCGAGCCGTGACGCCACCGCTGCGGCCCCCGCTGCACTAACGTTGTCGGCGTCACCCGCTCTCGCCCCTTAACCGCCCACCATTCGAAATTGGGAGCGGCAGAGTCCGCGCGAGCTCCCCACGCACCCAAAACTCTAGCCTATGCGCCCTGATCACCCTACACGTACCCCCACCCTCTCTCAACCGTCCACTGCCATGGCAGGCTAGTGGCTATAAAACCATGCCCCGCTCGCCCGCGAACCCTAGCGCCACCCCACCGCCTCTAGTGGCTTCCCACACACAACGTTCGATGCCTGGAGGAGAGCCAAGGGAATGAGAAGGGGGAGACCACTGTCCAGAGCCAAGGACGACACCCCGTACTGCTACAGCAGCACTGCAGCTCGGCACGGCGCTGCACCGACTCGCCATGGCCCTAACTCGCTGGTGCTTCGCTAGGCTAGCCCCCTCGAGCCCACGGTGAGCCCCACCATCCCTCCTCTGCTTCGGCAGCGCACACCCGCCATGGCCGCCGTCGTGCTCCCTCAACATGAGGAGGTCAAAGGTCGAGCCTTGGCCGTTCACGCACACACTGCGCACCCTCCACGACACATGAGCACGACCGCACAAGGCTATTAGGGCCCTAAATACCGTTGCCACCGCGTGCGCGCATCCTCCATGGTCGGACACCGACACGGCGAGCCCTGTTCAGGTCGAACCAGGTTGGTAGAGACCTCAAGGCCCCCGTGGCAGGCTCCGCCTTGCCGAGGAATGCCGATAGGGCTAAACCACAGCCGTAGAAGGCCCCTAGGTTCTACAGTCGTGCTCACGATGCCGGCATAGCCGTGCGCCATGCCGCCGCCATTCCAGTTGATGCCAGTCCGCTCGTTAGTTGGGAAGGGGACCGATGATGACCACCGTGATCCCACGCACTGAGCCGTGTGCTTGGTCGACCCCGTAGCCTACCCTAGCCCCATGTTCGCTGGAGCCACGCATCCGCTGGACCTCCGCCGCGCTCTTTGTAGTGGTGCGGACTCCGCCGTGCGAAATGGTCGCCAGCGCCACCCGTTTTGCTTGCCTCTGAACCCTCCTAGTGCCTAATCGGAGGCCAAGGCTGTGCTGCGGCCTTGCCTGCACGAGCCTCTACGCCGTCATGCCTGCCATCGCCATGGCTGGCCTTGGGAAGCCCCATGGTGTCGCCTTTAGCCCTTGTGCCGCCATGAAGAAGTGCGGTGAGGACTAGGGCGCTGTAGGAGCCCCACCAGAGCACCGGTGAGCCCCGTCGTGCCGTGTCGACACCGTCAAGCCTCTCGACACACTGCGTTGAGCACCTGGAGGGTGACAGTAGAGGCCTCTCCCCGCCCTTTTTGCCAATTGGTGCACTCGGTGCACCGTGCGCCATGTGCACAACCCCTGTGTGAACCTAACCCACCGTGGACTAGACCATGGTCTATAGTAGACCAGCCCCGCATCCATCGTGAGCCGAGTGCGTGGACCGAGCCCATGAGCAGCCCAGCCAGGCCACGTGGCTGGCTGTGCGCCCAGCCCATATCCGGCTCG